GGGCGCTTGCGCTGGACGCCGCCGACGGCGGCGCGGGGGGCGGCGCGGGGGCGGCAGACGCGGGGGCGGCAGCCGGCCCAGCGGGTCGCGGCCCTCCGCCCCCGCGGCGTCGTTGGAGGGCGAGCACCTCGAGTACCTACGGCGGCGGGGTGCGCCGTGGGGCGAGCCGCCCGTCGCGGGCGCCGCCGCGCCGCCGGAAGGGGCGAGGCGGCGAGCGAGGATCGTCGACTTTTGGCCGGGGGGCGCTCTCGACACTTACCGGCTGAGGTCACGTCGTCGGGCGCGTCGACGGGCTGGTTGGCCATGGTCCGCACGGCGGGGCGGCTGCGCCGCCAGGACTCGCGCGTCGCTGCACGCGGCCTGCAGAAGGAATGACAGCTCGGCGGCAAGGCTTTTCTTGCGCCGGGACGGCTAGGCTTTTTGTGAGACGCCGCTCGCGGAAATCGAGGAAGGCTGGGACTTTTCTTTTCTTGGGAAACGGGAGTGTTGGTTTAGAAGAGGCTGGCCAGCGACTGGACACACCGGCATGGGGGGACGCAAGCAAGGACGGGGATTGGAGGTTGTAGAGAGATTTAACTTTTAAGCACAGCTCGAGGGGCGAGGCGAAATAAAATTAGAAAGAAATGTACTCCGTCCCTCCCTCTCTCTCTCTCTCTCTCTCTCTCTCTCTCTCTCTCTCTCTCTCTCTCTCTCTCTCTCTCTCTCTCTCTCTCTCTCTCTCTCTCTCTCTCTCTCTCTCTCTCTCTCTCTCTCTCTCTAAACCGTCTCACTCAAAATCTCTCTCTTTCTATCTCGGCTCTCTCTCTCTCTCTCTCTCTCTCTCTCTCTCTCTCTCTCTCTCTCATGTCTCAAAATCTCTCTCTCAGAAGCGGAGCACACACGAAGATCGAAGTCGGCACAACAAAAATCCCCTTTGCAGCCAAGCCTACAGGGCACCTAATTTTCGTGGATTTTTTTGTCCTTGCCGCTCGCCGCCCCCGGGGAAGCGGCCCGATGGCCCGCTTTATCGCCCACCGCGGCGAGTACCGCGCCGAGGTCGCGGCCGCGGCACAGCTCCTCCTCGGCCGCGCCACGCTCGGCATCAGCGACAAGCGCGTCTCGCGCGGGCAGCTCCGGCTGTCCGCGTCGCCGAACGGCTCACAGCTCACCGCGGCGAATGTCGGTGTCAACTCGATCGGGATTCGGCGCGCGGCGAGCGCGGACATCGCGCCGCTACGCAAGGGCGCGTCGACGAGCCTCACCGCCGCCGACCTTCCCGCCACCGTCTACCTCTCACAGGCGTCGGCGCTACCTCTGCTCTGTCTCTCTGTCTCTCTGTCTCTCTGTCTCTCTGTCTCTCTGTCTCTCTGTCTCTCTGTCTCTCTCTCTCTCTCTCTCTCTCTCTCTCTCTCTCTCTCTCTCTCTCTCTCTCTCTCTCTCTCTCTCTCTCTCTCTCTCTGCCTCGTCGCTCTCTCCGCCCTCTCCCTCCCTCTCCCTCCGCCCTTTGCCTCCCCACGCCCCCTCCCTCCCGCCCGTCGCAGCGGGCGGAGGACAAGGAGTGGCTGTATCCGCTCCAGCTTGACGCCGCGCCCGAGCAGAGCATAGCAGCCGGGGCAGCGGCGGGGTCGGAGGAGGCGGCGGCGGAGGCGGCGGAGGCGGCGGCGGCGGTGGAGGCAGAGGCAGCTGCTGCGGCGGCGGCGACGAAGGCGGCAGCGACGAAGGCGGCGGCGACGGCGGCGGCGACGGCGGCGGCCAAGGCGGCCGAGGCGGCTGAGGCCGAGGAGGCGGAGGCGGCGGCGGAGGCGGCGGCGGCGGAGGCTGAGGAGGAGGCGGCGGAGGGATTCGCGATCAACAGCAGCCACAACAACGGCGGCGGCGGAGACGTCAGAGACGGCGGAGACGTCGGAGACGGCAACAGCGGCCCAGACCGGTGGGAGGGGGGAGGGGGGTGGGAGGGGGGAGGAGTGGTAGAGGGGGGCGGGTGGGAGGGGGAAGCAGGCTGGGAGGGGGGAGGAGGGTGGGAGGGGGGAGGAGGGTGGGAGGGGGATGGAGGGTGGGAGGGGGATGGAGGGTGGGAGGAAGGATATCCCTCGCCGAGGCGGGAGGAGGAGGAGGAGGCGGTGGAGGAGGGCGGGGCGGGGGAGGAGGAGGCGGCGGGGGGAGAGTGCTCGGGAGGCGACAAGGCGGCCGGCGGAGGCAACGGCGCCGGAGGCAGCGGCGGCGGAGGCAGCGGCGGCGGAGGCAGCGGCGGCGGAGGCAGCGGCGGCGGAGGCAGCGGCGGCGGCGGCGGCGATGGAAGTGGCAGCGGCGGTGGCGGTGACGGCGGCGGTGGCGGTGACGGTGGCGGTGGCGGTGGCGGTGGCGGTGGCGGTGGCGGTGGCGGTGGCGGTGACGGTGGCGGTGGCGGTGACGGTGGCGCGCCAGAGTGGCAGGTGCGCGTGGGCGGGCGGTACGTGCGCTGGGGCGACGCCGCCGCGCAGGCGCAGCTCGAGTCGGGGTGACCCATCCCCTACCCCCACGGTACCCGAACCCAGATCGTCGATCTCTCAGGCGCTGCTCGAGTCGGGGTGGCGGAGGCATGCCCCGTCTGTGGCGGTGGAGCACGAAGGCGGCGCGAGATCGCACGAGATTACGCGAGATCGCACGAGATTACGCGAGATCGCACGAGATTACGCGAGATCGCACGAGATTACGCGAGATCGCACGAGATTACGCGAGATCGCACGAGATTACGCGAGATCGCACGAGAGTACGCGAGATCGCACGAGATTGCGCGAGATCGCACGAGAGTACGCGAGATCGCACGAGATTACGCGAGATCGCACGAGATTGCGCGAGATTGCACGAGGGCGGCGGAGCTGGCGGCGGAGGGGTGAGTGAGCTGAGGAGAGGGTGAGCCAGATCGGTGCACTGATAGGATCGTACATCGCGAGGCTGGAGGCGGAGGGCACGGCGACGGCGCGGCTCGCGGCGGCGGCAGACCCACGCAGCTGGCGCCCTCTCCGCCGCTGGCCGGACCGCCCACAAGACCGCCCTCGCCGCGTCCTGCCGCTAGCCGCCTCGGCCGCGCCCTCGCCTGTGCCCGGTCAGCCGGGCAGGCAGGAGCCGGGCGCAAGGCGGGGCGGAGGCGGCGGCGGCTCCCCCTCCACCAGCCGCCCCTGCTCCCCCGGCGCCGGCGGCAGCCGGCAGGGCGAGATGGCGGTGCTGGTTGGCTTGGTGAGCAAGCCGGCGCTCAACGGACGGGTGGTGGAGATCGGGCGGCGCGTCACGGGCGGCAAGAAGGCGCGAGAGTACGCGAGATCGCGCGAGATTACGCGAGATTGCACGAGATTACGCGAGATCGCACGGGAGTACGCGAGATCGCACGAGAGTACGCGAGATCGCACGAGATTACGCGAGACTGCACGAGATTACGCGAGATCGCACGGGAGTACGCGAGATCGCACGAGAGTACGCGAGATCGCACGAGATTACGCGAGATCGCACGAGATTACGCGAGACTGCACGGGAGTACGCGAGACTGCACGAGAGTACGCGAGATTGCACGAGATTACGCGAGATTGCGCGAGATTACGCGAGATTGCGCGAGAGTACGCGAGATCGCACGAGATTACGCGAGATTGCACGGGAGTACGCGAGACTGCACGGGAGTACGCGAGACTGCACGAGATTACGCGAGATTGCACGAGATTACGCGAGATCGCACGAGATTACGCGAGATTGCACGAGATGACGCGTCACGGGCGGCAAGAAGGCGGGGCGGCAGAACTAGTATCACACACATATGCTCCCTATTGTATTACTTCATTAAGTCACGGGCGGCAAGAAGGCGGGGCGGTACGGCGTGGAGGTGGACGGCGAGCAGTACGCGATGAAGAGCTCAAACCTCGAGGCCGACCGGGCGGGCGAGCAGGCGGCGCTCGAGGGGCGGGTGACACTTCCTGGACACCTCCTGGACACCTCCTGGACACCTCCTGGCAGGCGGTGCTCGAGGGACTGGTGGGGCGGCCCGACCTGAACGGTGTCGCCGTGACCGTCGGTAAGCTCCACTTGGCGGGCCCGCATGAGGGGAGGTACGCGAGAGTCCGCGAGATTGCACGAGATTGCACGAGATTGCACTTGGCGGGGTTGCATGGAGGGGAGGTGGTCGCGGCGTCCGGCACGGGCCTGCTACTCACGACTACCTCTCTCATTCATAGCTCTGATTCATTACAGGCATGCGACCGGCACGCCAGCAGTACTACCTCTGAGCAACGAACAGGAGCCTTCACCGTTGACGAATGCGCAACAGGTACGCCATCCGGCACGCCCCGGACGGCGGGGAGGTAAGAGGTGCTCGCCATCCGAGGATTCATGATGAATTATCAATGATTACTTGTTTAATTACTCTCAGGTCGAGGCGCTCGCCATCCGAAGTGCCAACTTGCGGCGTCTGGCCGTCGGAGAAGCCTCCACCGCCACGCCCTCCGCCGCCGCCACCGCCGCCACTGCCACGCCCTCCGCCGCCGCCGCCGCCGCCGCCGCCGCCGCCGCCGCCACTGGCCCTTCCGCCGCCCCTCCCGCCGCCGCCCCCCCCGCCCCTCCCGCCCCCGCCCCCCCCGCCCCCGCCCCTCCCTCCCCCGCCCCTCCCGCCGCCGTCATTGACCTTGTCGGGGACGAGGGCGGCGGCGGCGGCAGTGCTGGCGGAGGCGGTGGTGGTGCTGCTTGCAGTGGCAGCGGCGGAGGTGGCGGCGGCGGCGGTGGCGGTGGCGGTGGCGGTGGCGGCGGCGGCGGGGGCGGTGGCAGCGGTAGCAGCAGCGGCGGCGGTAGCAGCAGCAGCGGTAGCAGCGGCGGCGGCGGCGGCAGCGGGCAGCTAGCCCAGCTTGCGGAGGTGCGGGCGCGGCACGCGGCAGCCTTGAAGAGACGCTGTTCACACGAGCAGCTGTGAACAGGTGCGGGCGAGGCACGCGGCGCGCTACTCCGCCACCGCCTCCGAGCGCGAGGCCGCCGCCGCCGCCGCCGCCGCCGCGAGCGCCGCCGCGCTGGCAGAGGCGCCGCCGCTGCACATTCTGTCGTACAACTTGTGGTTTGAGCACCCAGACACGTTCGAGGCGCGCGGAGGGGTGCGATGGGGCTTGCGACACTGGTCTCGGACGCTGTTCACACGAGCAGCTGTGAACAGGTGCGATGGGGCTTGCGACACTCGTCTCGGACGCGTCTCGAGACGGGTCTCTGACGCGTCCTAGGTGCGGATGGGTGCGATCGCAGCCATCGCGGGCGGCAGCGAGTCGGCGCCGCCGGCGGCGCTCTTCCTGCAGGAGGCCACGCCGTCGCAGCTCGGCGCGCGAGGAAGGCTGACGGAGCGCCTGCGCAAGGATCACCGCTTTTGCGCGCCGATGATGCAGCCGCCGCAACAGAGCCCATTCAACGGCGCCCATCCCCTACCCCCGCGGTACCCGAACCCATCCCCTACCCCCACGGCACCCGAACCCAGATGGTCGATCTCGCAGGCGCCGAGGCGTACCAAGTCGGGATCGCCACTCGCTGGCCGCTCGCGCCGCTCTGCCCGCGGCGGACGGAGTTCGCCCTCTTCTCGCGCACGACGCTGCCCCTAGAAGCGGACCGCGTATTCTCGTCTCCCCACCCGCGCTTTAGAGGGCACGGGCTCACATGTACTCCGCCGCCATCCGCTGCATGCACTCTCTCCGCCTCTCCTCGCGATATCTCCCCATATCTCCCCATATCTCCCCATATCTCTCCGCCTCTCCTCGCGCTCACGCGGTGCTCTGACTACGCCGCACCACCACCACACCGTCCCTTCCCGCCCGGCCCTCGGCGTGGTCAGCACTTTCTAGACACTTCCTAGACACTTCCTAGACACTTCCTAGACACTTCCTAGACACTTTCTAGACACTTCCTAGACACTTCCTAGACACTTCCTAGACACTTCCCTGACCTCGGCGTGTGCAGCACGCAGGCTGCCCAGATCTCCCCACATCTCCCCATATCTCCCCAGATCTCCCCAGATCTCCCCATATCTCGCCATATCTCGCCATATCTCGCCATATCTCCCCACATCTCCCGCCCCGACCTCGGCGTGGCCAGCACGTAGGATGATGTCGCGCGGCCTGCTCATGGCCGTCACAACGTGGGGCTCCGCACCCAACGCGCCGCACGTGCTGCTCGCGACGACGCACCTCGAGTCGTGGATCGGCCCGGTGCGCAATCTCGAGGAATCTCGGGGAATCTCGGGGGATCTCGAGGAATCTCGGCGCACCTCGTGTCTTGGGTCGGCTAGGAGGCCAACGGCGAGGTGCTCGCCAACCGGAGGCGGCAGCTCGACGAGATGGCCCGAGATGGCCCGAGATGACCCGAGATGGCCCGAGATGGCCCGAGATGACCCGAGATGACCCGAGATGGCCCGAGATGACCCGAGATGACCCGAGATGGCCCGAGATGACCCGAGATGACCCGAGATGGCCCGAGATGACCCGAGATGACCCGAGATGACCCGAGAGGGCCCGAGAGGACCCGAGATGACCCGAGAGGGCCCGAGAGGACCCGAGAGGACCCGAGAGGACCCGAGATGACCCGAGATGACCCGAGAGGACCCGAGAGGACCCGAGATGACCCGAGAGGACCCGAGAGGACCCGAGATGACCCGAGATGACCCAAGAGGAGCCGAGATGACCCGAGATGACCCAAGAGGAGCCGAGATGACCCAAGATGACCCGAGATGACCCGAGATGACCCTAGATGACCCGAGATGACCCGAGATGACCCGAGATGACCCGAGATGACCCAAGAGGAGCCGAGAGGGGCCGAGAGGGGCCGAGAGGAGCCGAGAGGAGGCGAGAGTCCTCGAGAATAGGTCTCAGCTCGCCGAGGCGGGGGAGATTGCACGAGATTGCGGGGAGATTGCACGAGAATAGGTCGCAGCTCGCCGAGGCGGGGGAGAAGGTGGCGAGGCGCGCTGCCGAGGCGCAGTGCTGCCTTGCGGTGTTGGCCGGCGACATGAACTGGAACGACGCGGACGGCGGGGACCCTCTCGAGGTGCTGCAATCTCCCCGCAATCTCGAGCAATCTCGTAATCTCGCCGTGTAGGCGGGGACCCGCTCGAGGTGCTGCAATCTCCCCGCAATCTCGTGCAATCTCGTAATCTCGCCGTGTAGGCGGGGACCCTCTCGAGGTGCTGCAATCTCCCCGCAATCTCGTGCAATCTCGTAATCTCGCCGTGTAGGCGGGGACCCGCTCGAGGTGCTGCAATCTCCCCGCAATCTCGTGCAATCTCGTAATCTCGCCGTGTAGGCGGGGGCCCTCTCGAGGTGCTGCAATCTCCCCGCAATCTCGTGCAATCTCGTAATCTCGCCGTGTAGGCGGGGACCCGCTCGAGGTGCTGCAATCTCCCCGCAATCTCGTGCAATCTCGTAATCTCGCCGTGTAGGCGGGGACCCGCTCGAGGTGCTCCGTGCGACTGCGGGGGGCGGCGGCTGGAGGGATGCGTGGCAGGCGGTCGGCGGCTCGCTCCCTAGACACTCCCTAGGCACTCCCTAGACACTTCCTAGACACCTCCTAGACACCTCCTAGACACGTCCTAGACACCTCCTAGACACGTCCTAGACACCTCCTAGACACGTCCTAGACACCTCCCAGACACACTTCCTAGACACGTCCTAGACACCTCCTAGACACCTCCTAGACACTTCCTAGACACTTCCTAGACACCTCCTAGACACCTCCTAGACACTTCCTAGACACCTCCTAGACACCTCCTAGACACCTCCTAGACACTTCCTAGACACCTCCTAGACACCTCCTAGACACCTCCTAGACACTTCCTAGACGCCTCTCTTTGCGTGGCAGGCGGTCGGCTCGCCACAGGAGAGCAGGGCGACGATGGGCTGGAACTTCCGGCTCGACCGCTGCTGCTACGCCGAGACACTTCCCAGACGCACTTCCGGGGGGTAGACTCTTCCGAGACACTTCCTGTAGGCTCGACCGCTGCTTCTACCTCTGCCCGCCGCCGAGGACCGGCAGCAGCGTGCCGCAGGTGCAGCCCACCGCTGTGTCGCTCGTCGGCAAGTCGCAGCCGCCGTCGCTGCACGGGCGCACGGTCGAGACGCGGGGCGGCAAGCGGCAGAAGTTGCTGCCGTCCGACCACCGCGGGCTGCTGGTCAGCTTTGCGCCACGCCGCGCGGGTGCGGGCTGGGCGGCCGAGCTGGACTGAGGCGCGGGAGTGGAGGCTGGAGGGGGGCGGAGGGG